ACCCCAAGAGGTTGGGTTTTGCTCCTCAATGGTTTAAGCCTATTGATTTGGTTATAATTGTGCTATTTAAATCTAATAAGATTTAAATTAAGCTTTGGTTTTCATTATAAGAGCTAATGGTGAAAGTTGGTAATGCTGAGTGAAGGTTTTTGGCTAATTAAAAATTGTATGGTTTGAAAATTCCCTAATGGTGCCTAATAAATGATTTTGGTGGTCAAGTGATAATTTGAGATTAGTTAGTTTAATACATTGACTATTAGAATGGATTATGACTCATTAACCCAAGTTGTGTGGTATGAGTTATAGTCTTCTTTTATGCTATTTTTCATAAAAAGTGATGTGGATCATTCATGTATTGTAGGAAATTGTTGGTGGAACTTATTAAGAAGTTAAGGAACAAGCCAAGTCTTATTTTGTATAAGGGGAACAGTTTAGGGTTGAGGTAACAAGGGAATTTATATTTCTTATTACTTTGTTTATCTATTTTTGAATAAATTTTACTAGTTATCATGCATTACATATTTTAAAAGATTAAATGTGCTTTATAAGGGCTTACAGGATACTACTTTGATAATAGTGAAAATATATTTTCTATTTGTTTAACAACAATGTTTTTATGAAAATGATATTGTTTGCATATATTGTAATCATAAAGAATGGAAGTTACACTTAAAGAAATGTAACTATGTTAGGTACCTTAGATAAGCTAAGGAACCGTTTAAGGGAAAATTAAAAATGTTATATTACATTAGAGTGTTAAAGTGGTCAATACTCAGGAAAGGTAGACAAGAGTAAAAGGCATAATCTCAGTAGGAATTTACCAATGAGGAGATGTGGACTTATGATATTCTATGGCATACTACCAGTACTCAATATTGCCTTACATATTGTGGGCTCAATGCACTAAAGTGGTTAGTGTATTAAGTGTTCAACACCTCTTAGTGGGAGAAGGAATCTGACATATAAAGTGTGAGGTTGAGTGCCTAGGCCAAGGTAGCCCTCACATAGAGAGTAAGTTGGGTTGGCTCTAGGAGGGAGTTAGCTTCGATTGCTCAAGATTCACGTTGAAGGGGTGTAGACGGTTTGATGGATTAGACCATGCCTTAGATTTGTACTTGTGGAGGTACAAGTGGGTATAAGGTTTACCTACGAGTTAAAGAGTACTAAGGCATATTTTGTTTCTTAAGAAAGGCCCATACCGGCCTATGTCATGCATTCATGTATTTTAAATGGCTAAATTATATACTATGTTGAATCTATTATTTGTTTATTTAATTATGTCTTACTTTATAATAATTAATATAGATTTCTCTACTACTAAGACTGTAATTGTCTCTCCTCTTTATTTAAAATATTTATAGGTTCAGGCAAAGGATCCAATGCTGAATGGGGAAAAGAGCTAAGCTAGGGGTTTTCCTATGATTTGTAAAGAATAGCATCCCCTTTTCTTTGGAGCAAGTATACTATAATATATTTAGGTTTAGGGTGTTAGTAGGTTGTGACTATACATATATGTGAATATGTGTGGATTGTGTGCTTGTGTATGAATTTTTGCCACTTGTAGAATTATGTTTAGGAAACTTGGTTATGTTGTGTGGTTTTGATGGATCCATTTGATAGATCAAGTTTTCACTACAAGAAAATGTTTATTTTGGTGTATATATATAAATATATGTGTGTATATATGAATATATGTGATTCTACATGGAATTGCAAAGTAGCTGCTTGTGAATTGTATGCTAAGGGCAAACATGCACCTTAAGGAGAGAGAGAGTAGGTGTGTGGGCCCTATGAGGATCTCTGAGCCAAGTGAAAATGTTTAGCATATGCATTTATATAAATACATGGTGTTTGGATTGATTTTTGACCACTCTTATATGATTTGTGCATTTGGAGGCTTAGGGTCCATTTTGAAAAATGGTACCTAGGTGGTCAAATTTTGATGTGTGGGGGTTTTTTATCATTTGAATGTTCTGTTGGGTACTCTTAGTCCTATTTGATATGTCTATAAGTGTTTTCACAAATTTATGACCCGTAGGATGAGATTTGAAATATTTTAAAAATTGTTTTTACCAAAATACTACACTTTTACATCTGGGTGTCTAAATCTCAATTCGACCATTAGATTTCTCTAAAATATAGGTTACAAGTAAAACTTTTTATAAGCTTCATGACAGCAACAACGTTGATGTTGGGACACACAAATTTTAATCTATCTATTGGATCTTTTTAAAATTTAGTATACTAGTAGTACTCTTTAAAATTGACAAGCAGGCTCTGAAATCATTTTGATCAGAGGTCGAACGTTAAAATGGTGTACTCTGAAAGTTGGTTCGGAGGTGCTGTCAACTGTCATGACAGCAAAAATATCCAAATTTGTAACATGTCTAAAATTTAATCTAACTACTAGATCTTTTTAGAATTCAGAACACTATTAACACACATTAAAGTTGATGTGTAAGCTTTGAAATCACTTCAATCGGAGGCCAAATGGTGAATTGACACCTCCTGAAAATTTTCCTGGGAAGACTGTTATGACAGTAATTAAATACCCCTATTTGCGTAGTTTGCTTCCGTGCGCTACACTGTAATTCTTCAAACTTTTCTAAAAAAAAATTAATTTAAATAGTTTTTTTTCTAAGTTAGTTTTAGGATTAACTCCTTAACCACACTTAGTTTGTTTGACTTGAGTGATTTTTTAATAACACTCAAGCCAAGTGTTACACTGGAGCTTTAAGAGGTCCCATAGAAAAGATAGAAATTTTTACTTCTTGGAGAATAACACCCTTACCTAGCCAATCAATATCTTCTCGTTCAACAAGCAAGAAACTCTTTTCAAAAATAACCTCATTAGAGTTTTGAAAATCTTCAAAGTAAAGGCTAGAGAAGTAATCTATCCCTAACCTTTTCAGTGTAGTTCTACCATAGATCCACTAACCATCTTCCCTTTTAGAGCTTCTATATTCTTCCTTCTCTTACAACAATTGGTCATGGTATGAAAATACTAGGGGTGTTCAATCTAGACTCATCTCAATTGGCCCGGTATCATCCCGATCATATCGGGACGGGTCTTGTCCTGGCCCGAAAATAATCGGGATGGGACTTTACGGGACGAGACATGGGATTATCATCGAGACATCCCATCCCGTCCCGAATGTTATATATATTATTTTTTATTTTAAATATATTAATTATATTAATATAATTTATACTTATATTAATTATATCAATTATAATTTTAATACTTACAATTCTTATTTAAAACTAAAGTATTTTTATATTGATAATTTTAATGGCATGGAGTAAACATGGTGATATCTTTTTTATAATATATTAATTATATTAATATAATTTATTCTTATATCTATCTATTTAATAACTTTTATTTATAACATATTTCTTGCTTATTTTTAGAAGAGTAATTAGCTTAGTACATCTTTACTAAAGTAGAAGAACAATTATTTGATATTGTGTTTGACTTGTCTGTTGTTGCTAATCTTATAGCATAAAGATCACTTGTATTTTTTATTATAATATATAGTTGTGATTAATATAATTCAATAATTGATTTTAAATTATTGTTATTTATGTACTTATGTTATTTTGATTTTAAACTTAATAAATTATATAATTTAAAATTTTGATGAACATTATTATTCAGATCTTTTTTCAATATTATTTCATTTATCGGGACGACGGGACGTCCCGATCTTGTCCCGATCCCGTCCCGACTCTTAATGGGACGAGACGACTTTCGGGATGGGACGGGACACGGGACCAAAATTCAGTCTCGATCTTTTTTTCGAGACAGGACACGGGACGGGGATGTCCTGGTCCCGTTCTGTTCCATGAACACCCCTAGAAAATACCTTGTATTTTTATCCCCTTGACTATACCAAGTACATCTCGATCACTGCAACCACATAATTTCTTCTTGAATCAAAATACATTCTAGATCACACCAAACAACATGACGCTCTTCTTCAAGATGTGTTGAGTTAGTATTAGCTTCCAGAAGACAATGAATGCTTCAAGTTTACATAATAAGCCAGCTTTTTTCTTATTTATATCCCTAAAAATGTTAATATTCCAATCAAAGGCATTAGAAGCAAATCTAGACATGTTTTCTTCCCAACCTAAACTATAACTCCAAGAGCCTTTAACTAAATCATCAAAGTCATCCTGCCTTACCCAAGGTGCAAAGAACTGAAAATTTTTTTCCCTCTTGTCTTTACTAGTGCCATTCCACATCTTTAAAAAAAATAGGGTAGTGATCTAACTTCATCTTAAGCAGATGAATTATAGAAGCTTCTAAAACTTTTTCAAACCAAAAAGCATTAACACAAACCCAATCAATTTTACTTCGAGACTGACCATTACCCTAAATGAATTTAGGCCCTTGATAACCCAAGTTAGTCAACTCAACTTCCTCAAACCAGTTCTTAAACCATTTGTCTATTATAAAAGGCATCAAAACCATAGAGAATTGTTCATCTACACCCAAAGTAGAATTGAAGTCATCACCAACACACCATCTTCAAACTCCATTAGCTTCTATTTGATGTAATGTTTGCCACAAGTAGTGACATCTTGCATGATTAAGATGTCCATAAACTATTGAAAAGTCCTACTTCGTATAACTACCTATGTTAAAACTACCATGGAGGACTTGTTTGTGTTTTATTTTGACTTGAAAATCCACTTCCTCCACCAAAAGCACCAAATACCACCACTATGGCCATTTGCTTTAACACAATCAAAATTCAAGAGTCCTATCTTATGAGCCACATATTAAGCTTTTGAACTATCATGTCTTGTTTCTAAAAGAGCTAGAAAATGAAATTTATATATACTGCATAAATCCAAGATCAAATTTGATAAGCCATGCCCACCTATACCCCAAACATTCTAGATGACAATATTATATTTGTTTGTACTATCCATAAAAAATTGTTCCTTATCAAGAAAAAGAACAGCCAAGTCAAAATTGCATGTCATACTCTCCACTAGCATCAGAATCAGCCATGTCATCCTTATTATCATCTGTAGATAAAGGATTAGAATGGATGTTAAATGGAATTGCACCTAGGTCAATAGGATTCACATCAACCTTCATTGAGTCTCCATCAGATTCATTAAATTCATCACTCATAAGCTTCTTAGATTCATAGCCCATATCCTCCTTCATGCCCTTCTGGTCTATTTTTGCACCTATTGGTTCAAGTTTCTCTTCTGAATATCCAAGCCCAACTTCTCTTTAGCCCATGCTAAAACTTCCATTCCAACTGTTTTCTTATTTGAGCATGGCCTATTCTCATTTTTTCTTTTGCTTGGTCCACTTTTTGATTCACTACTACAAAAAAGGGAATAAATGATAGTTATTTTAGTTCATAAATGCAGCTATTATGCTTCATTTATTCAGCTGACATTTAAAGACCACCAATAAATAACAATTATAAAATTGTCATTTAAAATAAAATCTTTACAGAAGGAGAAGCAAAATGAGAATATAAATGACGGGTAACTTATTTACCCATCATTTAATGCATGGCAATAATTCAGACCAAACTTTAAATGACAAGTAAATAAGATACCCGTTATTTAAAATCAATATAAATGTAAATGACAGGTATCTTTGTTACCCGTCATTTATTTTAATATAAATGACAGTTATTTATATAGTCCTCATTTTTTATGTGTTTTGTTTATACGTGAGCTGTTTTTATACCAGCCCCCTTGCAAAAAGAAATCAAAATAGCAGCAGCCAACCATTCCAAAATTGAATATCAACGAAATTTATTGTATTCAATTTTAAAATTAATCAATAAACAAATGTAATTATATAAAGTAATCTATTTCCAAAAATAAACTACCTATTAAAAAAATCTTCCTAGCTACTTCTTCAAGGTAGTTCTATTGATCTTCTTTGTATGAGGTCCACACTTAGAAAATGTATTGACACCATTCTTCAATTACCTCATTTATTTCTGCATCCCCGAATTCTTCAACATAAGAATCATCATAGTACTATAATATATAAATGATTCACCATATATTAATATAATTTTAATACATTAAATATTTTTGTAATTTAAAAGTTAATATTTTTGACATACTATCTCGGGAATTATGCTCTTGTTATGGATAATGATGTCCTTCATGAACCTCATGTTGCAATTGCCATAATTCAAGCTATTTTTTTTTGTCTTGGACACTAAAAATTAAAGAATCAATGAATATGTATTAATGCATTAAACTTCAATTTAATAAATGATTCCAATTACCTTAATTATATTCCAAGTATAGGCCACATCAAAATTTGTAAAGGACCTTGGAATTGATTGTCTTGTGTTAGTGCGGTATAACATAATTGCCCTAATGAAACAATAAAAAATATGTTAGTATGAAATTTAAATAATTAAATAAATATGTAAAATACTTTATGCACTTACGTATTAATTAACTCTAATAAAATTTGTCTCCTTCCTGATTCCCCTCCAAGAGAATCGAGATAATATATTTTTGGAGTGTTGCTAAATGGTTCGGCTGCAATCAACATCCAATGGTCCCTAATAATATTAACAAGTGTTGCAAAATTATAATGAATCCATTAAATTTAAAATAAAAAATTATTAAGATAAGTGAGAATTTTGTTACCCTTGACAGTATGGTATTATGAATAATGTTCCCTTTCGAGCCTTTGCTTTGAAATTTTTACTTAATGTCTTTGCTTGTTCTAAAATTTTGTCACTTTTAATTAAGGCATGTGTACCCACTTTATGAGGACTAACGAAGATGAACTTCATTTATAGATCGAAAGGGACAACAAAGATGAACTTCATTTGTCATACAAGCACCTATTATAAATAGAAGAAATGGATTAGTTTATATTTAAAATATTAATTATTCATATATGAAAAAAAAATTACCATATGTAGAAGCTAAAAACAGTGAGACTGGTCATATCATGTTGAAGCACTTCATCAACAACATCAAGCAAAAGCATATCATATCGGTCTTCACCATATATACCAGCTTCGAACGGGATTTGCAGGACCGGAGAATTAGACCTATGAACTGTTGCATATGCCTGGAGCAAATTTCTATATTGGCTTGGCAATTGAGGCTCTTGTTCAGGCAGAACTTTATGGGAGACTGCCTTTTTAGAGGAGAGCCTAGATCAAGATATCATCTTTTTTTTGACTGTGCATCTTTGCTATTTTTTTTAGACTTGGCATCCTAACTTGATTAGCTTACCATCCAATAAAACTACCAATCGCCTCTCCAAAAATCCTTGCGTCCTCGGTGGGAATAGGCAGCGGATAGTTCAAATCATTCAACACATCAATAGCAACACATTAATAAAATAAAATTTCTATAATTAAATTAAACTTTAGAATAATTTGATAGAGGTCTAGAGTTTGAATTTTACTAAGAAAAAGTTGAGTTTTATTTTATTTTTAACCATGAGAAAAATTACCAAAGTTGACCTGGGCTTTTATGCTATAATAAAAAATATTGGGCCCTTTCTTGTAATTTTTCCCAAAGTCTTATATCAGCATTTTAAAGGGGAAAACAAATGCAGAAACGAAATGGAAGAAAGAAAAAAAGGAAAGAAACGAATGTGAGAGAGGAAGAAGAGAAGAGAAAGAGAGGGAGTTAGGCTTGGATCTAGGAGGCTTTGCGACCGTTGCGAGTTCGGCTACACGATAGGTAAACTCCCTACTTCAATCCTCTTCCCTTCCTCTTGAATTTCTTCAATTTTTGGAAGGGGAAATTTCTGAATTTTGATCCCAAAGGCTTTATTCTTGTAAGCTTTTGTTTCTTTGGATCCTAGGGAGGATGTTTTGAGTTTCTATATGGTGTTCTAATGTTTTGAGTGGATAATTGGATGAAAAGAGATGTTTTAGGCACAAATCAAACCCCAAGAGGTTGGGTTTTTCTCTTCAATGATTCAAGTCTATTGATTTAGTTATAATTTTGCCATTTGAGCCCAATAAGATTTAAATTAAGGTTTCGTTTCCATTATAAGGGCAAATGGTTAAAGTTGGTGACACTAAATGAAGGTTTTTAATTGATTAAAAATTATATAAATTGGAAATTAGCCTAGTGATGGCTAATAAATGGTTTTAGTGGTTAAGTGATACTATATGAATAGTTGGTTTAATATATGGACCATTAGAATGGATTATGACTCATTGACCCAAGTTGTGTGGTATGAGTTATAGTCTTCATTAATGCTATTTGTCATCATAAGTGATGTAGATCACTTATATGTTGTAGGAATTGTTGGTGGAATTTGTTCAAATGTTAAGGAACAAGCCGAGTCTCATATTTTTTACAAGAGGAACTCTTTTGGTACCAAAGGATTGAGGTAACAGGAGAATTTATATTTTTTATTACTTTGTTTTAGCTATTTTTCAATAAATATTACTAGCTATCATGCATTACATGTTTTAAAAGATTAAATGTGCTTTATAAGGGGTTATGGGGGTATTTATAGGTCTCTCCCTTTCTCTAGAAAATTTTCACCTCCTTAATAGATGGTGAAGATTAATCTAATTCTATGGTTTACATTCATCCTCTAGAGTGTTCCATATAAATATCTACAATAAATATATAGATATTTATAAGGATATTTTTAGACTAATCTTTAAGATATTGTGGAATGTTCTAGAACATTCTAGAATATCCTAGAATATTCTAGATATCTCCACATCCCTCTCTAAGTTTCTAGAACCTTCTAGAAACTTCTAAATTTCTCCAGATTATTCTAAATTATTCTAGATGCTTCTAGAACATTTTAAAATATACAAGGTTCTTCTTGAACATCCTGAATTCTCCTAAAAATCTCTGTACTGTCCTAGACATCTCTAAAAGTACCATAACCTTATGGTTTCTTCTCTTTCTGAACAAAGATTGTGACATCGAGCTCAGGTGGCCAGTTGAGACCTATTTTTTGTTTTACCCCTAAAAATGAAATATTTTTAAAATTTTAAATTAAATTTAAATTTTAGAATATATGTTTATTCTTTAAAATTAGAATTTCTATTATTTATTTTAAATTTTTGAACTTTATAATTTGTATTTTAAAAGAAATATGAAATATTATAATTGAAATTTTTAATTTTTAAAAATTAAAAAAAGGGATTACAAACCTGGCTTTAAATCTTTTGAATAAGACTCAGGATTAAAAAAATAATTGATTTTGGAGCAACCGGGCTTATGAATTTAAGCCTATAAGGGCCCAGCTTGCTCCTTTCCCAGTACGGAGAGGCACTAATGTAAAGTTATTTTACTAGCCACCAAAGCTTTCCCTTCCATAGTACGTTAAATTAAAAATGTTAGCAGGTCATCATTTTGATAGTTCAATTAGTTAGACCGATTGTTGAATTAATAAAATAATTATTAAATATAAAATAAAATTATATGCATATATAATACCTATAAGAAATAAATATTTAATTTTTTAATAAATTCTGAAAAAAAAAATAGTTTAATTTCATACTATAGTTCATTTAATCATAATTAAATTATTGCAATTAAAATTTTTAAAAAATTAAAGTATTGTAATACTTTCAACCAGTTTAGTCATTTATATAATGTTATATTTTATATAAAAATAAGTAAATACATCTACCCAATATATTTATTATTATAATACTGCTCTAGTCTTCTTTATAAGTAGAAAGAGAGTATTTATTTTTGTTTTATTTATAGGGTATCCTAAAGGTAGTTGTATTCATTTTTATCCTTTTATCTTTATTAAATATTGAAAAAGCTATTAAATGCTAAAGTATTGAAATTTTAAAGTTTGTATATTTAATAGGAATAAATTCAAAAATTTATTAAATTTTTAAATAGAATTAATAAAATTTAAAATTTTTTAATTTTGATAAAAATATTAAAAATGCTTTATAAATAATACAGGAAGTATATTTATTCCACTTGAAATTAGAATCTTGAACAACATAGTGAAAACACGGGAAAATGAAATTTATTGAATGTCTAAATAGAATTAATAAAATTTATTTTTTAAATTTTAATAAATATGTTAAAAATAATTTATAAATAATATCAAAAGTATATTTATTTCACTTGAAATTTGAAACTTGAACAATATAATGAAAAAACGAGCAACCAAAATTCAGCATTCCCCGTTCACACATTTCAATCCTCACTAAAGCG